GCCTGCTGGTAGACACGGGAGCATCGGAGACCATGTTTGACAATTGCCTCGTCCCCGACGGAAACCTCCACGATTACACCCAGCGAAACTCTCTAAAGATCGTGGACGTGGCCGGAGGAAGCCAACTCAAAGGCACGGCCACGGGAATCCTACACTGCACCGTCAAGGACAATCGAGGACAGCAATTGCGCGTGCGGATTCAGGGACTCATCGTTCCGGGACTTGGTCGCAACATTTTTTCGCCCACCTCCCTCCTGAAAAAGGGATTGCGCTGCGTCGTCGAAGAGAGCACTCCGCACCTCCCTATCCAAGGCAAGGTGATTCCACTCACACAAGATCCGCGAGACCAAGGCATGTGCACCCTCGACATCACGTTCGAGCAGAACGTCCAGCCATCTGGCACGAAATCCCTCGTGCCCCACCAGAAGCAGTCACAGACCCACACGGCGAACGCCGTCTGCTTTACGCTAGTGAGCGCGGACACCTGGCACAGGAGGCTTGGACATCTCAATGCTCGGAGCCTGGACATCCTTACAAAGGACACGGGTACCAGGGTGGACTACCGCGACAGTCTCTCCCCTTGCGGGGTCTGCCAGATCGCGAAACACAAGCAGTCCCCCTACCCGAAGCAATCGACTCGCGAACTATCACGGCCTGGACAGCTGGTGGTCATCGACAACATGGGGCCTGTTACTCCACCCGCGAAATACAAAGGAGGCTCCTTCGCGTACGCGTGCAAGATCACCGACGACTGCACGAAGATGAAAGAAGTGTACCTGCTTCGCAAGAAATCTGACACGACCGAGGCAGTGCACACNAACGACCGCGGTCGAGCCCATGCTACAACGGGCCGCGTGGAGCCATCCGGTCGTTCCTTCACTCAGCTGGCTGATATAGCCGATCAAGCCCAGCTCCCGTGCCCTGGCGATACTGAGGATTTCGCCCACGTTGCGGAAGACTCCTTCACGGTGCCGCGTGCTCACGCCTGCGTCACGACCACTCACGAACACCACGAGATCGTGGAGGAGACGAATCAAGCGATCGAAATCCCCAACACCTACGACGAAGCCATGAGCTCTCCCCAGCGCGAAGAAGGGAAAGGAGCGTGCAGCAAGGAAATGGACAATCTGTGGAAACACAAGTGTACAATCTGGTGCCCCTCAGCAGCGTTCCCAAGGTAGAGAAGATCCTCGGAACGAGATTCATCTTCAAGAAAAATCTGGACGGACGCTTCAAAGCTCGCCTGGTAGTCGGAGGATATCGTCAAGAGCCAGGACAGGACTACGGAGGCAGCTACGCACCAGTATGCCGTATCGGGGGCATTCGCATGACGTGCGCCATTGGCTGCCACAGCAATTGGCCCATCTACCAATTGGACGTTGTCGGTGCCTTCCTCAACGCCCTCTGCGACAGAGATGTGTACGTCAGACCCGCCCCCGGTACATCCGCCAAGAACTCCGCGACGGGATTACCCATGGTGTACAAACTAGAACGGAGCCTCTACGGTCTATCGCAGTCGCCGGNAGCAATTGGCCCATCTACCAATTGGACGTTGTCGGTGCCTTCCTCAACGCCCTCTGCGACAGAGATGTGTACGTCAGACCCGCCCCCGGTACATCCGCCAAGAACTCCGCGACGGGATTACCCATGGTGTACAAACTAGAACGGAGCCTCTACGGCCTATCGCAGTCGCCGGCGCTCTGGAACGACCCCCTGGACGAATCCCTCACGGTGTTCGGATGGAAAAGGACTCCATCCGACCCCTGCGTGTACGTGTATACCAGCGGCAACATCATCGCGATTCTCACGGTCTACGTAGACGACATTCTCATCACAGGAGGAGACCAGCAGCTCGTGGACCAGAAGAAGAAGGAGCTCACGGATCGATTCGAGATGACCGACATGGGAGAGGTAAAGCGGATCCTCGGGATCGACGTGCAGCGGGACTACGAGCAAGGAACCCTGGCCATTTCACAGGAGCACTACGTGAACACACTTCTGGAGCGGTTCGGAATGCAAGAGGCCAACCCAGTGAGCACTCCTGGATACGGAGCGGAAATCTCCACGAATCAACCTCAGGACCAAATCCTAGGACCCACGGACAAGAAAATCTACCAGTCGATGACAGGAAGCATCCTCTACCTGGCCCAGTGCACGCGATTCGACCTCTCCTACGCTGCCCTACAACTTTCCAAGGCCTGCAGCAACCCAGCGCAGGTGAACATGACAGCAGCCAAGCACGATGTGCGATACCTTCGGGGTAATCCGGTTCTTCCTATCGTCTACAAGAGAGGACAGTTTCGGCTTGCGGCGTTTACGGATTCATCCTTCGGAGCAAACCCCGACAACGGAAAATCTACCACGGGATATCTCTTCGTCCTGGCTGGAGGACTCATCAGCTACGGTGCGAAGACTCAAACTCTAACCNAGCGTTCTGCGATACCTTCGGGGTAATCCGGTTCTTCCTATCGTCTACAAGAGAGGACAGTTTCGGCTAGCGGCGTTTACGGATTCATNCTTCGGGGTAATCCGGTTCTTCCTATCGTCTACAAGAGAGGACAGTTTCGGCTTGCGGCGTTTACGGATTCATCCTTCGGAGCAAACCCCGACAACGGAAAATCTACCACGGGATATCTCTTCGTCCTGGCTGGAGGACTCATCAGCTACGGTGCGAAGACTCAAACTCTAACCGCGCAAAGCACGGTCGAAGCCGAAATTCAAACACTAGTTAGCTACTCAGCCAGAGAGGCCGTCTACATCTCAAATTTTATGACGGAACTCAACTTCAAGACTTTCGGATCGGTTCCCATCAACAGCGACAGCACCGGAGCGCTGACAGTGGCCGAGAATGCTACGCACTCTCAACGCACGAAGCACGTGGCCCTGAGGTACTTTTTCATCCGGGAGCTAGTACTGCGGGGACAAATCACTCTTCACCACCGGCCCAGCGAGCACCAGTTGGCTGATATCGCGACCAAGTACCTCCCAAAGCACCGATTCGCCTCCATCATTCAGCAGATNCTCTTCACCACCGGCCCAGCGAGCACCAGTTGGCTGATATCGCGACCAAGTTCCTCCCAAAGCACCGATTCGTCTCCATTATTCAGCAGATCAAGGACTTCTCGTGTTGATCGAAGATCTGTGAACCTTCCTTCCATACCCGCCATACCAGAAGGAATATATTTTCGATACGATACCAACGGAGGGGTCGAGGTAGACAAGGATATGGTGATGCCGTCGACTATGTTGAATTAGTTGCTTGATCGAGGGGTTGTGTCAGGAAAATCGTGCGTCGAGACCACCAGTAGTCGGACACGGTTTGACCTTTTGATACGATTGCAGCAACTAGCCTGCGTAGCAGTAGAAATGAATCCATCTCTCCGTGGCATGTCTTCTCTTGTTCTAGAAATATTGGCAGTATACCCAGAGACTTTCTGGAGTCGTTATTCCCAGTGTATCATACTCCGCAGTCGGAGTCATCTTCCGTGTTAGATATGCTCGCAGCAGTATCTGGTCGTGAGGATCCCAAGGGGATACGTGTTGGGAATTTCGTGTGTTGTGTGGCACCATCGGTGCAATCACGGGGGCCCTTTTGGCGCGGTTGGAACGATGAGGCTTGCGTGTGTGTTGCGCACTTCTTTCTTCCTTCTCTCCTTCCACCGCTACCGCCGTTTCTCTCCAATCAAGTTTCCTCCTCGCACTCTCTCTCCACCTCTCCCTCAATCTCTCACTCTCGGCCTAACATGGCCGACTACCCAGTGCCCCAAGTATCGCCCAGGACGGGCTTGCTGCACCCCGTGTAGTTTAACCTTTCATTCCGTAACTCTAGTACTCTGATCCATGCCAACTTCTCATGTCATATTATTATTCTTAGTACTTCAAGTCCTAGATTAGGAACACTTCCAAAGGTCTACTCAAAATAAAAGTTTGTAGTAGCAATTAGTGGAGAACGCAATTAACGCTCAGTGGGTATTCGATTGGAAGGCAGATGAGTGTGGATGGCCCACTAAGGTTAAGTCGAGACTTGTAGCGAGAGGTGACATCATGCAGAGAGAGTACACTGACTTTGGAGAGTTGTGCGCAATTACCTACCGTTTCTGTTTCATGTGTTAGGATGTTGGCTGCTTTGGCGTGCGATTTGAACCTCGACTTGTGTTATTTCGATATTGAGCAAGCTTTTGTGCGTTCGGAGTTGGAGGAAGACGTACGTGTACATGCGTTTGCCGCAGGGATGTGGAGCTCTATCTGGAATGATTGTAAAACTGGGCAGCAAGAGTTTGTATGGCTTGAGACCGGCATCAAGGCAGTGGCATGCAATGCTGAAGAGGTGTTTGGTGGCGTTAGGTTTTGAGCAGTGCATGGCCGATGCTTGCGTGTTTCGTTTGATTGAGGATGGATGTGTGCATTGTTTTGATATTGGTGGTACATGTAGATGACATTTTTTCTGTGGGAGAGAGGGAGAGATGTGACAAGTTTGGCGCCGACCTTTAACAAGTCCGTGCCAGTGAATAACCTGGGAGAGTCGAGATGGTATTCTGGGTGCTTTTACGAGAGGAACAAGGAGACCGGTAATTTGACGATTTCTCAGCAGACTTTCACGGATGAGCTAGCAGCAGAGTGTGGAGTAGTGGGAGGTAAGAGCGTTCCGATGTCTTCGCGGGGGTGAAGCTTTCTGATTATGATGCGGAACAGGTGGCGACAGACCTTCCGTTTCGTGAACTAGTCGGATCTTTGATGTGGCTGGCGACTCAGACTAGACCAGATATTGCGAATGGTAAGGGCAGTAGCTAGGTATTGCGCATCTCCGAAGCTGGTACACTGGAATGCAGCGATGGTTTTTTTAGGGTATGCGAGGAGGACGAGTCACTTCGGTATTTCGTTTCAGAGAGGTACAGTAGAGAGAGGGTTTCAGTTTGCAGGGGTACGCTGATGCGGACTTTGCAAGCAAGGCAGCAGACCGTAGGTCGGTATCAGGGGGGATCGTGACGTGTGGAGGAGGCGCCGTGTCTTGGTTTTCCAGAACACAGAAGTGTGTTACGCTTTCGACGACAGAAGCAGAGTGCGTCGCGCTTGGTGACGTAGAGTTAGCGCCCGCAATGAAGAAACGCTTATTGGATATATTGGGGGTACTCGTAGCATAGTATGACGGGTAAGATCTTCAGTACGTACGTACGGAAATCGCAGTGATGAGATGCAGAGGAATCAGANCCTCGCCCTCACCAACAACGTCGTGTGGGTCAACCGCCGGGCAGGGGCGTCAGCGCCGGTGCCGGGCATCGTGGGGGGTTCTTCGGTCACCGCGGCGCCCTCGCCGGACACCGCCGTACCTGCGGCCGATGCCGCACCGCCGCCGCCCCTGCCATCAAGGACGTACACCTACATCCCGCCTGCACAAGCGACCACCGCACCGCCGCAGCCCGCTTCCCCGCCTATCTTCACAGGATCCTCAGCCCCGTCGCCGATCTCCGTCGCCCCATCATCAGCCCCACCGTCGACCGCAACAACGCCGCCCCGTTCACCCCCGGGCCTGCCGCCGCCGCCCCCGCCGCAGCCCACCAGCGCCGCCACCCCCGCTCCCCCGCACCCGCCGCTTTCGAAACGAGCCGTGAAGGAGTTGGGACGAAAGGACACGAGGGTACACGGCCGCACGCGCGGCGATGGAGTGCGGTCCATGGAGAAACAACAACAACCGCCGTCCGGTGGCGGCACCGCTCTCCACCACCGTCCTGGTCTGTTGGCGATGATGGACAAGGACTCCCTCATCTCGTCGCTCGCCACTCGGGAGGCCGTGGATCAAGGACGGCGCGACCTGCCGCCCCCGCCGCAGCCGGATCCGAGTCTTGGAGGCCCCGGAAGCGGGGGGGCTGTGGGAGATGGGGGGCCCGTGGATTCTGGGGGGGGATGGAGTCCGCAGATGTTCGCCACGATGCTCGCCACCCGCGAGGATGTGGACGCCGCTCTTCGCGCCGAACGCCCGCCCGACAAGATGCCAGACCTTCCTCACTGCCTCGCCAACGACCTCCGAGTGCCGAAAACGTTCAAGGAGGCCATGCGGTCTCAGCATTCAGAGTTGTGGGATGATGCAGTCGATAGAGAGTTTTTCGGTTTATTGGATGCAGGAACTTTTAGTCCGGTGTAGCAACCAGTAGAGAACGCCATCAATGCTAAGTGGTTTTTTAACTGTAAGGCAGACGAGTGCGGATGGCCGACGAAATTCAAGGCAAGACTTGTAGCGCGGAGGGACATGCAGAGGGTTCGATTGATTTTGGAGAATTGTTTGCACCCACCGTATCAGCGTCCAGTGTGCGCTTGTTGGCAGCATTAGCATGCGAGCAGAATCTTGACTTGTGCCATTTCGATATTCAGCAGGCTTTTGTGCAGTCTGAGCTTGATGAGGATGTTTTCATGCGCTTACTGCAGGGGTGTGGTAGGTTATCTGGCCTGATCGTGAAGCTGTGCAAGAGTCTGTATGGTTTGAAGCAGGCATCACGACATTGGCATGCGCACCTGACGAGGTGTTTGTTACTTTTAGGTTTTTTGCAGTGTCTGGCAGATGCATGTGTTTTTCGATTGATGGAGGAGGGACATGTGATCATGATCATCGTGGTCCACGTGGATGACATTTTTGCTCTAGGGCAGAAGGAGAGTTGTGACAAGTTTGGCAGGGATCTCAACGAGATGGTCCCCGTGAAGTTGAGGTGGAACTCCGCGTGCTTTTACGAGAGAGACGTAGAGAGAGGGCTGCTGAAGATTTCACAACAGAGGTTTGCCGAAGAGTTGGCTGCGGAGTATGGCGTTGAGTGGGGGCAGAGTGTGCCTCTGCCTGTTAGCGTAAAGCTCACCGACTTTGACGTGAATGAAGCGAGTGCTGATGTCCCTTGTCGCGAGTTGGTAGGATCTCTGATTGATGTGGTTGGCCACTCAAACGCGGCCGGACATTGCGAACGCAGTTCGAGCAGAAGTGCGGTATTGCGCGTCTCGCAAGATGGTGCACTGGAAGGCAGCACTCGGTATTTTAGAGTACGTACGCAGGACGAGTTGGATGGGGATTACATTTGAGAGGGGCGTCGTGACAGGTATGAGCATGCAGGTGTTTGTGGATGCCGACTATGCAAGCAAGGCGGCAGACCGGAGGTCGGTATCAGGGGGGCTAGTGATGTGTGGGGGCGTGTGTGTGACTTGGTTTTCACGAACGCAGAAATGCGTCACCCTTTCCACCACGGAAGCAGAGTATGTGGCAATTGCCGACGTCTTGAAGGAAGTGTTGTTCTTGAGGCAGGTGTGGCATTTGATGTTGCAAGATGCGAGTATGCCGTGCATCCCGGTGTTCCAGGATAATCAGGGAGCGATTCAGATTGCGCACAACCCGATCACGAACTCCAACTCGAAGCACATCGATGTACGGCATCACTTTATCAGGGAGCTGGTAGAGAGGAAAGTTATTTCAATTACTCATCATGTGCCGACGCAATTTCAGCATGCAGATTTCTTGACGAAGGCTATTAGCAAGGAGTCTTTTGCGTTGCACCGTGACTTTGTGATGAACTTGCAGTGAAGGAAGTGTTTTGGGGTCGATTCGTATTCTGTAGCGGAGAGAGGAAGAGATAGACGAGATTGGACAAGAGGAAGAGAGAGTCTGATGAAGAGAGTCTGATGAAGGTGGTACGCGTGTTGGAGTTGTGTTAAGATTTTTCTTGTTTGTTTTGGAGGATATTGGGTTTGGATGTTTTTGATAATTCTCTTGTTTGTTTTGGGAGAGATGGTAAATGAGGAATTTGGTTTTTCCCGAAGCATGACGATGCATACGAGCAGAGGGGCTATTATATATATTGGGGGTACTCGTAGCATAGTATGACGGGTAAGATCTTCAGCACGTACGTACGGAAATTGCAGTGATGAGATGCGGAGGAATCAGAGAGATGCGTTTGGTAGTTTGAGCGTGATGAGCCTGACGCGTGCTTGATGCCGTGACAGATTTACAAGCACGAGCACGCCCCCGAAGAATACAATACGTTTCCCTATACGTCCCTCCCTTACCACGGCCCGTCATGGCCCAACTGCTCTACACTCTCAACACACAGAACTGGGCCACCCGAATTATCAATCAACGCTTATTTCAGTTCCAGCCTCGAATTTTTATTGTGGGCTATAAACTCAGCGCATGTATGTATTATGTCGTTCAATTTCTAATGTATGTCAAGTTTCTTATTTTCGTGCCGCCAAATCCTGCTGCTGAATTTCTTCAATCGGCAATTTCATATTTTCTCTGCTCACGAGAGCTGGCGGAGAGCACCATCAAAATCGTACAGCAGACGACAGCATATCGTGGTTCGCAGCCTGTCTGGCGGTGTGCTGTGCCAGACAAAGCCGGAGCGCCACAGAGAGCACCAGAGCCGGNATTTCATATTTTCTCTGCTCACGAGAGCTGGCGGAGAGCACCATCAAAATCGTACAGCAGACGACAGCATATCGTGGTTCGCAGCCTGTCTGGCGGTGTGCTGTGCCAGACAAAGCCGGAGCGCCACAGAGAGCACCAGAGCCGGCAGGGGGCCCAAGGGGG